CAAAGCTGTTAGAGCTCAAGAGAAGGCTCCCACTGTTCTGTTGTGGCTGTCGCCGGAACAAACCAAGGTCAGCTACTGTAAGACTGTGGTGAGATTTGGCTCGACTCGCCCCCAGAGTTACGTAACAACAACACAAGCCCACTTTGTCTCACATGCTCCAGTAGATCCTGCGTGCTACTTCGACAGTGGGGTTGATTGATGTGATTAATGGGCATGCTTGAACAAAAAGGTTGCCCCCCCCCCCCCCCCACCCTTCCTTGGTGGATAAGTATTTTGTAAATAGAACAAATAAAGCATTTTAATTTTACAATATTATAATCACAGTATCATTTTTAAAGAATGATTTGAAATAAAGTGAGGAAAATGTGATCATGTTTTGTTGAGGGTCTCATTTGAGCCTGGCCTGGGTGGTGTCAATAAATGTAATGATGGTTTTGGCCACCAGGTGGCGCACAAGCATTATCCAAACCTACCACTGCTGTCTGCCTGCACAGATCATCTGCTGTCTATCTCCCAACTTAAGATGCATTATAATCACATTAAAGTAAAGCTGAAGCAATGATGATGAAAATTTACCCAGCTTTCATATAGTTAGGAGCTGTAGATGTTCAAACACTAGACAGTCTATAAGACCTTCTGTCAGTTGAAGTAAAATTCAGCTTTAAGAAAAAAAAGAAATGAAAGTGGAAGTACCAACGTTAAGACATTTTGAAAGCATTCAAACGTGACAGTTAAAACACAGCAGACATGATCATTTTGATGTTGTTTATTATGTCTTTTGAACACTCTAATAAACTCTTCTAAATTATTACACCTGAAGACAATCTCCCCTCCATAAGAACAGTATTAAGAGCATGACATTAAATTTTCACAGCACTGCCTTTATCATTCCGCAGCATGGATCTGTTTTCTTCACTCTCTCTCATACAGAACAAAGCTTCGTGAGACAAAGAACACCATAGAAATGGAAGCAGCACAAAAGCACCAAAGTTAAACATGGGGCCATTTGTTCTGAATATTATCAAAAAATCAATCTTAAGTTTCAAGATTATCTCAGGCTTGTTTGGCAGTCAAGAACCAAAGAGCTCCAGCTGCACTGTAGTTCTCGAGTGGGAAAAATAGTTTGATAAACAATCTCTTGATAATATCTGTCACAACTGACTTTGACGTCTTTTTAAGCAGATTCAAAACCATTCCTGTACAGCTACAAGGCTCTGCTCATGCGGCCTTCATTGTTGTAAAATGAAAAAAGATCCCAGTTTATAACAATATCTATGCAGGGAGATACTGTAGTTCTGTTATTTGTATATCAAGTAACACATTTAAGTATCGAGGATGCTGTTTTTTTTTGTTTTGTTTTTTTGTTTTTTTTACATATTTAAGTGGCTAAACTGCAAAAGTGAATGTCTTACACTAGTCTTATATGAAATACATACAGACATAAAAAACTATTTCCTTGGAAACCATGACAGTTTCTTCACAACCAACAATATGTGATACCGTTACTTGAGGTGCTCATACATGAGATTCAGGTCATGATTACATCACACCTGGGGTTATGTTTCTGAATGAACATCAGCACATATTTTTATACTGTACATGAAGAAGTTATACTTGATGAGATCAGCTACGGTAAGGTCACTTGAAACTACACACAATATCAACTAATGGGCATTTTATGCAATGACGTAAAACGTTAGACAATGACATTTTCAGCCTACATCAACAAAGTGAGCGCTAATGGAGGAAATACCCTCCTCGATAAGAATGTTTTCAGAAACCCCGACACATCGCTCACTAATCAGACTCAACTGATGCACATGCAAAGCTTTAACCAAATAGCACGCAGTGGTGACAAGTGGGAAGAACGGGATAAAGAAAAAAAAAAGAAAAAAAAAAGGGACACTAAACCTTTGGTTGACAGAAAGCTGTGAAGGCACATTAAAATCTCCTCCTAAATCCTTCAAACTGGGGCACGTTGCGTTGGCGTTTGTCACTTTAATGCTGCGTAATATTGCAGATTCTGTAGAAATGGAAGTCAGGGAGGAAATTTCACAAAAGAAAAAAGAAAAGAAAAAAAAAAGAAAAAAGAAAAAAAAGAAAAAGGTTGCTGACAACAGTTGGTTTCTACTGCAGACAAACACTATCTCTCACAAAGTGTCAGCAACATGGCACGATACAACACCCAGGGCAGGGATTGAATGTAATAAATGACAATGTAACAGAAATCCTGTAACCCAAATACTTATACTGGTGACTGGTAACGCAGTCAGATAGAGAAACTAAAGTGGGAACACAGGCACAAATATCCTGTACATGTTGAAATAATGGTAATATGTAAGATTTAAATAAACCTTTACAGATTCAGGACCTAAAATTAACAAAAATCACTCGTCATATAAACAATCCTGTGATTTACACTTAGAGGCAGAGATCTGTCCAATCTTGACAGAAGCTTTCATCTTGGAATGTTGATTTTTCTAATATATAAATTGTTTCACTTGTATAATGTGGTATAATTACAGTTAAATTAAGATTTTGACCAGAGCTGTGGATGTAAAACTAGAACCGTTTAAAGCCATCATATATCAAATTGAAAGGTAATTGTTTCTCTGTTTATAATTAATCTTATATAGCTCCAATACACACTGTTTTCACACAGCTCTTGTATGAATAGCTCTGTCAATCACCTTAGGAATGGAGGGAAAAAAAAAAAAAAGGTTCACACCCATGTTTTGTGCTGTGTGGCAGGACTGGCTGTTTTTTTTAATGCCTGGACTGACTAGACCTTAAAAGCCTTTCCGAAATACTCCCATCCAAAATCTTTTATTCTCTACTGTGATACATCAGCGTTGGCCTGCGTTCATTTCCCCCGCCCAAATATGACTGGGAGCGGTATTCCAGATACTCTCATCCAGTGGAACAGATTCTCCAAGTCTCCTCCCTAGATCCTAATTCACTGCTTTTGTTTTTTTTTTTTTTTTTTTTTTTTTTTTTTTTTAAAAGTTCATTTTTCCATTCCTCCTCTGTGAAATCCCTCTTCCACTCTCAGTCTCTCTTCCCTGCGCTCGGGTCCAACTGGCCACAGCTGGAGAAGCCATCATCACAGCCATCGAGATCACCACCGCCATCATCATCATCATCATCATCGTCGTCGTCGTCTCCCTGAGCCCACTGCTGGAGCGGCTCCCTGCCAACGCCGCTGTAGCTTTGATTCCAGGCACTAGTACTAGCTGCTCTTCAACATTCAAACACTACTTGGTCCATTTTCACTCGACAAACATCCATTCACTAGAGACCTTTACTGTAAATATAAGCCGTGTGTTGTGCTGAAAACATGTATTCTAACTTGACTCTGACCATACAAATGGGAAAAACAAGCCCCAAACCAGGACGCTTTAACTTGCTCTTACACGTTAGTCATGGAAATAAATGCCCAGATATCAAAGAAAACATCAGAGCATTTAAACCAGTTTTCTTTTCTTCCAGCAGTACTTAGTCATAAGGAATTGTTTTGTGAAAATCCTTTGTGCCTGCTTAAGGAAGAGGGCGTCTCCTAGCTTGACGTATATGCTCTGCAACCACACAAACACGACCCCTGGGTGACCTTTTACTCCCTCCATTCCCTCCAGTGATCACTAATTCAGGAGCAGTGACATCATCCTCTGGACTGGCCCTCCATTTCATTTCCCCTCCCAGCTCCACAGAACTGTTCAGTGTACTCCCCCCCCAAGCAGCGTGAGGTGGTGGTGGTGGGGGTTGTGTGTCTCTGCTCTTCACGGAGGAAGTCTCCTACTATGAGGGAAAATACTTTTTGACTCTTCACATGACCTTCAGACACACGGATAAACTCCATCAGTCTGTCTCTTCTAAGTGAAGGTGTGAGGACACTTTTCTGTCTGCATGCAAAGTGACGGGGGGAATTTGAGCCTCCCACTGTCTCTGGTGCCTCGGCTTTGTAACATTCACATGATATGGATACAGCAATATGTGAGACAAGCAGTTCTGTAGTACAAAGAGAAAGTTGAGTATCTAGAAGAAGAGCAATCTTTACATCACACATAGATGCACAGTGTGATATTCCAACCTTTACCACCATGATCCTAATAGAATTGTATCAATAAATATATTTTGGTCACTTAATTTTTATTCATGATTAGCATTTAGCAGAAGTTGTGGATCAGTGCGTCCACAACCATAAAGAATGAGTTAAGACAGACAACACAAAAATGAGTTGAAATGCAGACCTCTCTAAGATAAGATTCTGGATTCGTTAACATTTGAAAAAATGCCTCATACGGTTGGTTGTTGTGTGTTGGATATAGTTTTAAAAAAAATCATCACATTTTAAAAAGAAACTGTTAAAAGATTATATATTATCAAAAAAAAAAAAAAAAAGGAAAAAAAAAAAAAAAGGAAACTAAATGCAACTCTAATAGATATCAAGGTGGAAATACATGGCATTGCCTATGAACTAACACATCTGGATAATTTAAAATAGGCGACCAAGAGGTCTGTAGTCAACTCTCAGGAGTCCATAGTCTTTTTGTCTCCCCCCCCTCCATTCCTCCGAGTCTCTCCCATGCTGTTGCTTCCATACCTCCTCTTGGAATGCTCACAAATTGGGCATTGAAGTCCTGATGATGTGTTAAGTCCTCAGGCTTGGCGTTTAAATGTTAGTGTATGTTCTGGCGTAAGTATCTGTATGTCTATATATGGATGCAGTTAACAATGTGTAGTTGTGTTTGTGTCTCTGTGTTTGTGTGAGCGTGCATGTGTGTGTGTGTGTGTGTAACAGAGAGGGATCAGGAGGCGGACAAGGCCTTGATCAGGTACAGTTTGTCTCCCTGCTCACTGGTGAAGATGGGGGCTTTTTTGTAGTGTTCAACAAGCTCTTCCATAGAGTTGAACTTGCGCTGTCCAATGCAGTAAAGGTTTTCCTTCAGCTGCACTTTGAAATGCTTGTTCTTGCTCTGCGCCTTCAGGGAGATGGAGAAGTCGTTTGGCTGTGAAAAGAAAAGGAAATGAGAGGTTATTATCAGTTGAGAGAGTTTCAAAGCGACTACAGGCAACCTGTCAAATCAGTGGTTGTTTCGTGAGCAGGTGCGGGCTACTGACCGATGACTCGCTGTCTCGGATGAGGAAGTCTCCCTCTGCGCCTCTCTGGTTTAGCGCCACCTCCGCCTGATGGCGCGTCACCTTCCCGTAGTACCACTCCTTCCCTGCGAAGCGCCCGCTGCCCGAAGGCGAGATGTAGTCACAGTCAGGAGTGGGCGGCCCAGCGAGCCCTGCTGTGGGTTTATGGGAGGTGGAGTCCAGCACAGTGACGTAGTTCTTGGGCACCAAGCCCAGCTGTCCGTCCGCTTTGCGGCACTTCCACCACTCCGGATCGTTCTCTGGCTTCTCCACGACCTCCATCACCTCGCCCTTCTCAAAGTTCAGCTCCTCATCGTTGCCCGAGCTGAAAGGGTAGAGTGCCTGAACCGTGTGCAGCACCCTGTTCCCGTTCGTGGTGCTGTTCACCACAGCCGCAAGCTTCTCTGTTAGCGATCCCGCCGGGTCACTGAGCCCACCCATTCCCCCTCCCCCTGCCGTCCCATCCACGTCCTCCGTCACATAGTTGGACGGAAACCAGCCCGATCGTCCGCTGTAGCTGCCGCGCCACCAGCCGTCACTGCACTTCTCCATCACCACCACCCGTGTGCCTTTCACCAGAGACAGCTCGTCCTCACGCTCGGCCGAGTAGCTGAACTTGACCAGGGCAGGCAGGTTGAGGTCGTACAGTCGCTCGCCATTGTCTGCATACATGTCTGTGTCGGAGTTGGACGCCGTGTCTCTCACCCCCCCCTTTCTGCTCTTTACCTTCCCAATTCCTACACAAAAATAAATCAAGGAAAAGTATAAGAGACAGATCATAATTATCATCATCTACACTGAAATTAAGTGCAGTTAATAAGATCAGAAACTCAATTACAAGGCACCTGACATTTTGAATTAGCATACAGACAGACCTTTAGGATTTAAAACTCATCATTTTACTAAAACACAAGTCCCTGGAATTCCAATTTTCACACCCTTCCACTGGTGTGGTACAAGTCTCGACAGAAAAACAAAAACCATACCATTTAAAAAAAAAAAAAAAAAAAAAAAAAAAAAACACACCTAAGAAAATTTAAGTGAGGAGGAAAAACAAAAATCCCAGACAAATACCAGGCAGCGATAATAAGCATTAGGGGTTGTGCTGAAATACAGGGAGGGTGGGTAAGCAGGGCTAAATATCATTCTTTTTCCACATTACAGTGCCCTAACCCCCCACAGTCCAAATCCAGATACATTCTTGAGACTTAGGCCTAGGTGCTGAGGAAACAAAAAATAATGGCTGAAAAAAAAAAAAAAAAAAAAAAAAAAGTTTATTCATCATCAAAATTAATTACCATCTACACTTGCCTTGAACTCTGAGGGTAAAAAGGTTCAGTCACATTTCATTGTGACTAATCACATTGCACTAATCACCTCGGCTGCCCTGACACCTGCGGCCTTGCTTGCACTGCAGCTGGATATCGTGCACTCAGTGGCACCATCTCTAAACTGAAGGGGGATTACCAGGCCCTTTGGCCTTTTCCTGGGTTACGGAGCCTGAGGCGGAGCTTTGGCAGGCCCGCGGTCATCGTCTTACTGGACAAGAATTTCCACTTGGCAGCCTGGTATGCTAACAGTTGTATGAAACATGTGTGGCTACCAGAGGACGCAGTGGTGAGATCACGCCTTCTTCCTACTTTCCAAGAGACCAGAAAGCAGCTCTAATACTCACGGCCAGATCTATCTATATTTTACTTTCTCCTGTAGAAGCAAGGAAAACAGCAGTTAACTATTTTGCTACTTCTTGCAAAACCAATATGACACAACTGTTATCATCACAAGCCTATGGTGTAACTGATGATGCAGGCAGACCAGACGGACACAGTGAGCAGAGCAAAGTAGTGATTCTATTTCTGATTACGTTTGCACAGCTATTGCTTCAATAATCAAAAGTCAGCGGGGTGAAATTATACATGAAGGCAGGGTGTAGTCCTCAGGACAGCACTGGGAGGAGGATGGTGTATGTGTGTGTATGTGCGTGTGTGTGTGTGTGCGTGTGTGTGTGCTTGTTTGTGTATGTGCGTGTTTGTTTTCTGGCGCGGAACATGACTAATGTGTCACAACGCCATACTGAATCTGTTTTACCACAGATAAATTGTTACTGAAAGATGTCCGTGACTCAAGGAGTGCAGACAAATTTCACGGTAGTGCTGAGAGTCCATCGTCAAATTGCTTCCAGGTAGACCCTGTTATTAGTCACACCACTGTACATAACTACAGACTCCAGACTGGGTGTTAAGAGCCAATGTCTGTAGGTGGAGGTTAGGTGTAGTTATGCCTCTGTGCAGCCTTAATAACTCAAGGGAGAACTGCCAAAAAGACACAAGAAAAACACGTCTATATATCTGTAAATCTATACATAAATTTTACATAAAGATGAAACAGTTAAATTTGAAAATAAAGCAAAACCTGGGTCACATCAGCACAAACATCTCACCCCTCTTTAATGTTTCAAATAATCCAAAAGTTACACAGAAAGAATCTAGATCCACAAGAGCTAAAATATCACATGTGCATGTTGGGGAAAAAAAAAACAAAAAAAAAAACATGTTCGTGCAGGTGCAAGCCCCAGGATATGTCTTGTGCACAGTTGGAAATGACCTAGTTAGCTCCAAACAAAGGTTACAGGTCAACCCTGCATAAATAAAGTATCTTTTAGCTCCAGCTGAGAATGGACACAACTGATAGATTACATTTTAATCGCACTGGCCAGGTAATGTGGCCCTTATCAGTTTCCCCGTCAGGGAATTTATTTGCTGCTTCCTGCTAGTCACACGAACACTTTGCATTAAAAAAGCACAGAGCCCAAGACCACTGCATTTGACTAGATGCTCAATCTAAATCAAGGCAATAAAAGGAAGTTGGGATTTGCCTGTACAGCTATAGGAAGATGATACTAGGAGAAGATAAGGGGGTGTTACTGAGGGCATCTGCTTCTCTAAGGACCCATCTGTCATGCTGTTGTAGGCTAATTGCTGAGAATTCACTTGTTTGGCCGAGTAGAAGAAGAACGGTGAGTATGTGCTTCCTTTTACAGCTTAGCAGAAGCTCTTATCAAGCATGGTGCTGCGCAGAGCAAGGCCAGTGTTTGCCGTGTTAGATATTCAACACACTCTCACTCCACTGATGTCAACTGACTTCAGCGAGCACTTCCTTGACATTCTGCCAAGTTTTTTTCTGCCAGGTTTGTGAGTTCAGTGACGCTGAGGGGACAATCCTTGAACCTTTAAATATGCTGACCTCTACAAGGCATGTCCGGTGGCATTCTGCTGCCGACCAGAGGCTGAATGTTTGACTGTAAACAAGAGGAGGAGATTTCTGGCATAAGGAGTGTAGTGTACCTGGAGTAATAGGTGCACAATGACACACCCTATATTAAAAACAAGTATGTAGAAAAGCTGAATACACTGAGCTATTCAACACGACGCAAGATCATACAACCATTCTTTAACCTGAAGAAATTCCATATAATTTAGATCTATTTGTAGAAACAGCTGGCTGAATTTAGTAAAATGTTTATAAAGTGATGTTTACATAAATAAAGCTAGGCTAAGCTTTGTCTTGAGACAAGTACAAAGAACAGTGGATTTGGTTTAAAAGCATTTTTGCAATGACTAAGCAGTCTGAGGTCAAGCACTTCAGACAGGACAAAGCTGTTGTGAGAGACGTCACTGGTTGTTATGAGACAGTCCATCTCGCCAGCAGCACACAGTAACGTCCAGACTTGCCACCTTTACCACAACGCGACCATGTGAGGACCAGCGGAATTAGATTAAACAGTAAGTAAGTAGTTTGTGCCCAAATTTGTGCCCAAATACTGGATCAGGAAAAGGGAGGTAACAGTAGTTGGTAGGAGACAAAAAACACCCCCAGCGGCTCCCCCAACTCCTACCTGGGGGAAGCACAATCGTCGCCTCATATGTGTTCATTCCACCTGAAGGTAACCCTAAATACTACCAACTGCATGAAAATTACATGAAAATATGCACATGTGGCAGCTCAGCGCTTCCTCCGAAACCCACAAACCATGCCACTTCTCGGCTGTAAGGGTTATGAGACAGGAAGAGAATTTAAAAAGTACGGCACACTGGAAATTTTTTTTCTCTCCACCGACGTCACATGCTTTTTCCTGTGCATTTCCTCAGAGAAGGATGCTGAAGTAGGAAATCGTCTCGCTTCAGATGGCAGTAAATCACTGCAAACAATGACAAGGACTTAAGACACATATGTTAAAATCCTCGGAGGGAAAAGTCTTCACTTTTTGTTTACAGATGAGGCGCAGCGGGAGGAGGAGAAGAAAGTGCTGGGGAGTTTGTTCGTCTACCAATGACAGACAGGAACTGGTTTTGTTTTTTAACTCTGGCCTCCCCGCGCTGGCTGGCTGTCCATTGTCTGCCAGGGCCCTTTCGACCCCTTGGCTTCCCTCCATTCCAGGGCTCTTCCTCTGTGGACGACAACACCCCGCGTCAGGCTGTCTGACAGTGCCTGAACATCCCCCAACTTGAACAGAGCGTGATCACTTGAACAAGTTCAGCAGCAGTGAAATGGCCTGCTAGCTGACTAAAGGAAAACCCCCAATATTTTCGAGCCAAGCACAACACGTCCCTCTCATATCCTAACTACAATTTTAACCAAGCTGCCTTAATTATGTGCATAACACGTCGCACGGTCATGTCACTGTAGTAACAGTGTAACTTTCAGTCTGACAACAACGTGCCACTCGTATTCATCAGACATGTGGCGCCATGCAGCAACCCTCAGCCATATGGTTTAGTATGAGAGACTTACACATTAAATGTAATGGCACCACATGTCTTCAGAAAGAGTGAGTCAAACAAACTAAAGGGAACGTACACAAAAGTAGGCTGGCGTATTCTTCAATGGGGATGGGTTGGGACTAAAGCGTCAACAACAAGCTGCTAACATGGCTGACTGATGGCTGCACAGGAAACGTGCACAACTCTTTCAACTTCAGCCATCTGAGTCATCCAAAGCAGCCATCAGTCTCTGTGAAGCAGCTCCATTTGGTTTTTACTGCTCTGGACAGTGCAGGGTTACTGTCAGAGGCTACGCCAACTAGAACCTGTCCTCATAGTAAAACAAACAGGTGGTTGTCTCAGTTCCAACAGTCTATCAATATGTGTGTGCATCACTGCAGCAACACTGGAATGATTTGCTGACTCTCTCGAGGTCCCGCTCCAACATTTCCAACCAATAAATGTTTTTTTGCTGACACTAATTTCACACTTTTTCAGTTGACCCATTTCTTTCTTAACCTCTATTCTGGTGATCCAAATTTAAAGCACATTTTTTCTGTGTACAAGTTTATATGGCTGGGATTCCCCTCGAATCAATAGCAAAATATTTCCATATCTCTGTTTTGATGCCTGTACTTTTGTGATAAAGCAGTGAAGCTGCACGTCATGGCGCTGATCTCATACTGTACAGCATACACCTAAAGTAATAATTATCTGTTGAAGCAGGTGCAAAAGTTATACTGAGAAATAATTTAAATTTTCAATAGTGATGCCGATACCACACCTGAGTTTCAGGTATCAGAACCAAAAGGACACTTTACTATAAGGAATATCAACATTTTTACCCCCAAAACATTTTTCCATGAACAAAAGTTCCAAAAATTTCTTAAATATTAGATGATGTTTTAACAAAAACGTCCACTTATTAACTTTTCCTAAATTAACAGCCCCAAAACTGAACAGAATATACAACAGGG